AGGGGAGAAGACAGTGCGGAGTTATATATTTTATTGGTAGATATATATCTTATGGACTGATTTAGCTGTTGTTTCCATAAAACTTCAAAAACTCTTTTCTCTATCAAACCACTGATTGTGCAATCTTTCTGCCTGCTTATGTATGTGTGTGTGTGTGTGTGTGTGTGTGTGTATGTGTATATATATATATATATATATATATATATATATATATATATATATATATATATATATATATATATATATATATATATATATATGTATATATATATATATATGTGTATGTGTGTGTGTGTGTGTGTGTGTGTGTGTGTGTGTGTGTGTGTGTGTTGTGTGTGTGTGTGTGTGTGTGTTTGTTATTATTATTATTATTATTATCACTACTATTATTATTATTATCATAATCCTTATTATTACTGCTATTATTAGTATTAGTATTAGTATTATCATCATCACAATCATCCTAATCATCATCATTGTTTTTAATCATTATTGTTATCAATATTGTTACCAATATTTTCATTATGATTATTGCTGTTGTTATTATTGTTATTGATGCAATTATTGTTATCATAATTGGTTATATTATTTCAATTTTCCTTATAATTGTTATTATTATCATCACTATTATCATTATTAATGTTACCATTATAATTATTGTTATTATTACGATTATCATCATCAAAATAATAATTATTATTATCTTATTATTAATTATTATTATTTTATTATTATTATTATTATTATTATTATTATTATTATTATTATTATTATTGTTATTACTATCATTATTATTATCACTATCACTATCATTATCATTTTCATTGTTGTTGTTGTTATTGGTGTTGATTTTATCATTATTTTTTGTTACTAATACTATTATCATTTCGTTGTTGGCGAGGTTATTATTACCATGAATTTGGTTAATAATATTTTTATTATCATCATCATTATCATTTTCATTGTTGTTGTTGTTGTTGCTGATGTTGCTAATACTACTACGACTATTTTCATTGTTTTATTATTATTATCATCATTATTATAATGTTGTCATTCTTATTATTATTACCGTTATTTTAATTATTGATAATATTGTTGTTCTTATTATTTCATTGTTATTGTTATTGTTGTTATTATCATTATCTTTATTATTATTATCATTATTAGTATTGTTATTATCACTATTATTATCATTCTTATTATCATTATTAGTATTATTTTCATTATTATCATTATTTGTTATACGGATAATTTTTATCAATGTTAATAGTAGTAATAGCAGTAATAATATTGTTATTATTATCATTATCATCATTATTATTACTCTTATCATCATTATTGATATTTTTATCCTTGTTGTTGTCGTTGTTGCAGTTGACGTTGTTGCTTTCATCATTAACATTATCCTTATCATTATTATTATCATCATTATCTCTCTAGTTATTATTGTCGTTATCACTATCACTATCATTATATCTAACACTAAATTTTCCGTTTTATTTCTCCATTAATTTAATCTCCCCCTGTCTCTTATTCTCCCTTTCCTCGCCCCTTACTTCCAAGTCTCCAATTTCTTGCCATTTGCTTTCCTTCCTCTCCTCTCTTCCTTTTTTCATTTCCTCTTCTTCTTCTTCCTCTTTCATTTAGTGCCTCCCCTTCATCTCCCTCTTCCTCCTCTCTTCTTCCTGTTTCTTCCCTCTTCCTCCTCTCCTCTTTTCTCACCTATACGCCATCCCCATCCCCCTTCCCTCAACACCCTTCCCCTCCGCCCCCCTATCCCTCCCCCTCCCTCATCTATACACACGGACACAACAACGTAAAAGATAAATAGACCTTCCTTTTGACTTTAACTTTGCTTCGCTCCCCACTCCCACTCCTACTCCTCCCCCTTACCCCACTCCTCACTCCTATTCCCCCATTCCCACCCTTGTCTCTCTCCCTGACTCCTCACTCCTACCCCCTCCCCGCCCCCGTCCCTCTCCCTGACCCCCCACTCCTACCCCCACCCCACCCTGCCTCTCCCTGACCCCCCACACTCCTACCCCCCTCCCGCATCCCACCCTTGTCTCACTCCCTGACCCCCCCACTCCTACTCCCCTCCCCCATCCCCGCCCCTTCCTCTCCCTGACCCCCCACTCCTACCCCCTCCGCATCCCCACCCTCGTCCCTCTCCTGACCCCACACTCCTATTCCCCTCCCCCTCCGCCTCTCGTCCCTCTCCCTGACCCCCACTCCTACCCCCTCCCGTATCCCCACCCTTGTCTCCACCTGACCCCCCCCCACTCCTACCCCCCTACGCTCCGTCCCTCTCCCCCCCCCCACACACACATATTCCTACCCTCCCCGCCCCTTGTCCTCTCCTCCGTCCCCCCCCCCCACCAACCCTCTCTCGGCCTCCAATCTTGCAGACGAGTTGCAATGTCAACAGAGTCTCTCGCAACGGCTTCACATCCTTCCCGTGCTCGTGTGTACTGCGCCAACTCCCGGAGACGATCCCGGAGTGCGGAGATAATCCTCATTGCAATAGATGGATTTCGAAGGATTATTCTAATACCTTTTGATGTCGAGTTGTCATAGACCGATTCCTGGGGACCTGCTTCGAGTGATCGGGGGTTGTGGAGGGGTTGGGGAAGGGTTGGGATGGTGGGGGAGGGTTTGGATGGGGTGGTGGAGGGATGGGGATGGATGGGGAAGGATGAGGATGGGGTAGGGATGGTGGAGGGGTGGGGAGGGGGGGTGGAGGGAGGGGATGATGGGGAGGGGTGAGGATGGGGAGGCATGGGGAGGGGGTGGGGGAGGGATGGGTAGGGGGGATGGGGTAGAGGGTTGGAGGGGATGGGAGGCATGGGAGGGGATGGGGAGGGAGGGTGTTTGAGAGGGTGGTTGGGGGGAAGGCGGAAGGGTTGAGATGGTGGAGGAGGGTGGGGGAGGGGGTGAAGGAGTGGATGGGGTAAGGGGAAGATAGATTGAAAGGAGAAGGGGGTATGGGAGAAGGGTTGAGAGGATGGAGGTGTAGGGAGGGGGGTGAGGGAATGGAGGGTTTGGAGAGGGGAGAAGCTGTAGGGAGAAGGGGGAAGAGAAGAGGATGTAAGTTGGGGTAAAGGATGAAGGGTGAAGGAGAAGCAAGTTGAGGGAAGGGGTGAGGGATAGAATGAGGCATGAGAGAAAGAGTGAAGAAGTAGGATGGATAGCGTAGGCAGAGGGAGGGAGAGGGGAGGGGAAAAGAAAGAGAATTGGAGGAGAGAAGGGGTGACGAACAAAGCGACAGGGAAGGAAGGAGAGGAGGAAAAAAGAGAGAGGGAAGGAGGGGGAGGAGGGAAGGAGAGGGAGGGAGGCTAAGGAGGGAAAAAGAGGAAGGGAAGGAGATGGAGAGAGGCAGAGGGGTGGGGGGCGACGAGGGAGGAAGGAGAAGGAAGGAGGCCAAGGGAGGGAAGGAAGAGGGAGGGAGCCGAGGAAGGGAGGACGAGGGAGGGGAAGAAGAGGGAAGGAGGCCAAGGGAGGGAAAGAAACAGAGAAGGGTTCTGTATGAGAATATCATTATTATCATCGGAGGAGGTCGCTTTACATTCTTAAAGGAAATCAAATTATCTTCATAATAGTGTTGATAGGACGTAATAAGATAAATAACAATATGCAGATACACACGTGTGCGTATATGTGCATGTATGTGTATATGTGTTTTATGCCTGTCAAGTCTGTGCGCTAGTAAAAATAAAATAAATAATATGAATAAATAAATAATAGAGGCAAAAAAAAAACACACAAAAAGATATATATCTGCACTTACCATCCAATAATTAAAAAAAAAGATCACCACAGTTATCCCCCATCTCTCACCGCCTACCATCCCTGCCTCCATCTATCCGTCATGTGTATATCTCGTTCTCTCATATCTATTGGCATCTCTTTGTTATTTCACTGATTTACATGTACAAACGAGTAAACATATTCATCATCTCCCATCAGGCTTCATTTCGCAATTTATATTTTGCAAGTGAGAGTAACTGATATTTGTCAATATTGGGACAACAGCAACAGATTCGATTTATGTACACTGAACAATTTTGTCATCTAGAAATATCTCCAGTTTTAGACTAGAGTGGCGCTATGTGTTTATATATATATATAATATATATATATATATATAATATATATATATATATATATATATATATATATATATATGTATATATATATAAATGTATATATATAATTATATATATTATATATATATATGTATATATATATATATATTATATGTATATCTGTCCATTCTCACTCTCTCTCTCTCTCTCTCTCTCTCTCTCTCTCTCTCTCTCTCTCTCTCTCTCTCTCTCTCTCTCTCTCTCTCTCTCTCTCTCTTCTCTCTCTCTCTCTCTCTCTCTCTCTTCTCTTCTCTCTCTCTCTCTCTCTCTCTCTCCTCTCTCTCTCTCTCTCTCTGTCTCTCTGTCTCTCTTCTCTTTCTCTCTTTCTTTCTCTCTCTCTCCATTTCGGAAAATATTCGGATCTACTGAACCACCGTGAATAAACGTAACATCCTCTTATTGTTTGTCTTTATTCATCCTTTTTCTTGTCTATCTTTTTTACCTTTTTATCAGTATTTACATATTCATTTTTTCATAAACTGAGTTTTCGTCATCCATCTTCACTTGCGTATCTATTCGTTCGTTCGTTCTCATTCCTCGTCGTCTTTACCTTTCCTATCATTCTATTCATCAAAGTTCTTTCCTGTATTTATCATCATCGTTACTTCCATTTCCTCCGATCCATTCCATTCCCCATTTCTCCTCCGTACATAATTCCCATTTCTATTCGCCAGTCCTCCCTAGTCGTGCTCCACGGAATCGGACGATTCTTCCTCCATCGAATCCCCGCTTCTTTCAATATTTCATTCCCACTCTTCCTTTATTCAATCCCCACCTCTTCCTTTATTCCCCATCTCCCCCCCCTCCATCCACCCATTTCTCCCTCTATCTAACGTCTATTTCTCCCCTTCCCCC